GGACGAGTCAGCTCCCCTTTATCTAGTAGCTCTAATAAATAACGTAACATCATCACGAAAATACGCTCAGCGAGACGATAATAATTAGAGAAAGTATAAATTGTGATTTAAGAAAATATTTTTAACAGAGAGCAGATCAAAATAAATTTCAAAAAGGATTGGAAACAACACATTTATATGATTGATTTTATAAGATATTAATTGTTATTGAATAAAATAATTAGAATAAAAAATGGAACTTTGGCATTTGAAGACCACTGTAAATCGGAGCACACGTCGTGTAGTTAATTAAAGATTTTAATAATAGATGACGCAGATTGAAACAAAACAAGAGACAAAGACATCGTAAAGATGTCGTTCGCGGCCGCGAGACGCCCATCTCGCGCCGACATTAATACATCGCTGGGGGTAAGACGTCGCGGCGGTGGTGGCAGTTGCAACACGCGCCACGGCGCTCGACGTCGGTACGCGTCGACCGTGGTATTAATTTCCGATATTGCTCTCGTAAATATTCGCGACTCGCCGCCAACCATCCTCGTCAGATTGAAATACCTCTCTCTTTCCGCAGTCGTTGCCAGCGCGCGTTTCTGCTGGGGGATCATTTTTTATATATTGACCCTCAGGATCGTAGATAGATGGGCTTACGAAGGAACGGCAAGATTGAAAACGGACCTAAGAATATAAATCGAAAAATTTGCTTTGCAGTATATTTAATAAATTATATAGCTTGCTAAATTGATATTATTAAAAGAGAGAGAGAGAGAGAGAGAGAAAATTATTATTTGTTGAAGATTTGCATACCGTTTTTCAAGAAGTTTAAGAATTTTTTAATTTCATGTTTCGTGAGAAAACGTTGAAGCAAATTTATCATCACACTCGTAGATTATTTATTTTTGCGTTTCTCTCGTTTTTGTCTTAGAAATTGTGTTATATTATTTTTCTAGATATTTAACAGTAGGGCTCTAGGAGTTTTTCCTTACGCACGGTCCTACAGATTCTGTTTCAATACTTTAGGGGAGGATTCGGAACAGGAAGGATGTCCTAAAACGCATCTGCGGCAAACCCGCATTTTGTCACGCGAAAAAAATGAAATTTCTCTGATAAAGGATATTCACTGGGAAACATTTGGTGTTATATAAAAAAACATATAAAATTGTAACATGTAATATATCAGAAAGAGAGTTTAATATACTAATTATTAAACTATAATAATAATAGAATATCTCCTTGATTAGTTGTATGATTTATGGAATTTATTTTCTTTGCACATTTACTAAAACAAATTAAAAAAAAGATTAATCGAATCAATTGTTCATTTGCAATTACAAAAGCAAACGAGTAATCTCTTTATTACCCATCATGCGCACACAAGTAAAATATACATAAATATAATATATAAAACGCTTTGTGTATCCTCGTATAATTTAACATACATATCTATACAATATCTCGTATCGTATCCCTGTATAGTAGGTACATACAAGATGCATCTTTTGCAGTTTGACAGAAATAATGCAAGGAGAAAGGTGTGTCTCGCGAGTCGCGTTGCACCAGCTGTGCATGCGATGCAAATGGATGTGCAAGATTCACTGTCACTATATAAATCGGGAAAGAAACTTAATCTATGAACTGGCCAAAAGAAGATGTTATTAATGTGGCTTACCATTTTCTTGTTAAAATATTTAAAATTTAAAAGAATTAGCAAGCAACAATATTACACAGCTATGTTAAATGTTTGTACATCTATTTGATAGTATATTTTGATGCTAATTCATTAAGTAATTGCAATTAAATTTGCTTTCGATGAGAAAATCTTGAATATAGATTGAAAAATATTTATGCCGAAGTATGATTTATTTATTTATTTTTTAATATTACGTGTAGGCCCTTTCACTTATCCGTCAAGTCCAATTAATCTATTTTTATCCTCCACTTCTTTTTATCCTCCAGCAGGAATAATTAAATTAAAAGAAGTCGTAATCTGCAAGTGAGAGGTTGGACCAGTCCGTTATCCTTTTCCTTATCCTTTCCGCAGCCTTGAAACTAGTAACCTGCAGCTACGTTCTCCGTTTCGTGGGTACTTGAGTCAATTGGCAGCTGCAATTATTCTCATTGCGGCAAAATAGCGGATATATTTAGGACAAAGCGATGATTTATGCGGGATGTGAATATCGGATAGCTGGGTTTAGCGTTAAACGCGCGGCGAGAATACGAGTCAAAGGCTGTTTCTCTGCCAAGCGGTTATATTCACGAGGTTTATGGACGGTACTTGGTAATTCGAGCACAAGAGTGTGTACATGACGTTATAATAGACCCTGTATACGGTTCCTACGCATTTATATGTCAAAGAACCGCTAGTAAAGGAATTTAACTACGTATTTAATCGCAGATTTATGCATTTGCCGTACCGACAGGATGTGTTTAAAATTTCGTTGATTATTGACATTTATCAGTCGCGGAAAGTCTTGGCATTTTGGGCGTCGAACGCCGAGCGCCGGTTCCGAGAAATGACGTAGCGCCGTAAACACTTCGGTCGAAAATAGTCTATTTTGATTGTGCGTATCATTCACGCGGTGATAGTCGAACGAGTCGGTTAGCGGCCCGCGTCGCTCCGCTTATCATATTCTTTCTCCGCGTTCGCGACAAGTACGGGAAGAAACCGCGATCGCTCTTTGTGAACAATCAGCAATCGATATCACGTGATCGCTAAATCCTCGCGATTCGCTATCAATGCTCGATTAACCGGCAAGACAGATATCCTGCGTGATTCACACATGAATATTGTACGTAAGATCAAAACACTCGCTGACTTGAAATTACTTCGTCATAGCGACTTCTGATCATTTAAACTGCCAAAAACTTAATGTTCAGTAAAGAATGCTGCTCTGTCGTTGCAAAGATTTAGTTTTCTGTTCATTCTCACGGCCAAGATTGATCCTTGCGAAAGCTTATCACGGAAGTTCATACATAACTAGATTGTTAGTTCAATAATGACCTAAAAAAAAATGTTATTTACGATAAATTTGTTTTATATCATATTTGATTTTAGTAAGATTTTGGTCAGTTTATAATATTTTTTATATTTGCATATAATAAATTAATTCTTATCGAGAATGAATGAAAGTAAAAAAAAGCTGACAACAGAATCCCTTTTGATTTCAGACTGCCGTCGCCCTATAATAAGCAGTCGTCGGGAGTTGGCGGCGCTGGGGGTGGTCCTGGGGGTGGCACGAGTATACCCCTGCCCGCGACCGTCGCTGCCACCAGAAGATGCCCTCCGGACAAAGTCAGACCAGCTCCAGCACCGACGCATCAATCACAACTCGGTAAGTTCCATCAACCCATCTTCCTCGCCCTCTTGCCACAAACTTTTCGAACATTGCCGTGTTTTACAGAAAAACATAAAAGCTTCACTCACATCATAGGGGAACAAAAACTGCGTTTGATACATCGCATAATACGTAATAATGTTATATAATTTTGTATTAAGTTATGAAGTATTTTGAAATTATCTTTTATTACAATTGTATCAGATACTTTGCCCAAGTTATTTTAAGCAAAGATTTTTGTTTCGAAACATTTTCTCGATTGAACAGAATTAATCGTTAATTTAATCAATACCAATAAGTCCGCGGAATAATACGCAAAACGTAGCAACAGTCACGGAACAAAGTAACGTACAATAAAATATTAATGATAAATTATATAAAATTATTTTATTTGAAAATCAATTATACTTTCTGAAATGATTTGTTACATTGTTTGCGCATTTAAATTGCAATGCGCCGGGAATTGCCAGAAAAATGCTCGATTGGTCTGACATCCCGCGTTACTCATCTAAAATTAGTTTTTGTACAATAAATAAATAACGAAAAGTGCTATACATAAAAGTGGAAAATGAACAAGGCAGACGGAAGTAAAAAGCTAAACGTTACAATTTTTAACAATGGTCAACAATTGCGGCAATACGAAATTTATTATTTATTTTGCGGTGCGATCGTGATGGCATTTCCTACGTTTTTCCAAATAAAAATTTATTAGCAACCGAATTCACCACATCGATCTCCCAACGGTTAAATGGCTTTCCCAACTTGCCTCTATTTTTTTCAAGTCGTTTGTAATGTCATTATCGGAATTTTATTGCATCGACTTTCTTCCTCGATCTAACAAAGGTGTTTTAAAAAACTTTTCAACTGTCCATTTTTATATGTCCAAAGAGATACGTCTATAATTATGAACCATCTATATTTTAATTCAGAGAAGTTTGTTTAATTTTTACCGCGTAATTTGAAATGCTATGAGGTTGGACTGATAATTGTGAAAATATATGGAACGACCTTTCTCGCTTTAAACAATTACGCAATTCTTTCTTTGAAGTGGCATTTCTCTCAAGACGCAAAGAACGATAAAAGGGTGTGGTGTACACCCGCGTTAAGGACACCCCATTAGCCATTAGCCCCGTGAATAGCTTTTAGCAACCCTTTGCGCATTTCTGGCTGTCGCTGGAGATCCTGGACCACCATGAAAACTCGTCTCCATGGGGCTCCCCCGTTATTGCGAATATATATGGTGGCTTGTACGATCGTATCTTCTTCACGTGCGTTCTCGTACGCGTTCGTCTCTCATTTATCCCCTCGTATGTGCGAGCGTTTATGTACAAATGATGCACAAGCTTTTCTCTTCTGATATACATACATATACGTATAATTTTTATTTCCCTTCATTCCTTTCTTCTCTTTCCATATCGTATGAATAACTATCGATTAGCAGACAGAGAAATGATTGTAGAGAAATATTATTGCAAATGTTTTATAATACAAGTGACATGTCTGGAAGATAAATTCAACATAGACATCGACTTAGATAGTTTCTTTCGAGATACCCATATTTGCTCTTATCATAATTCTTCCATGTCTATCTTATTTAACTGCACTTAGTCTCTCTTCCGAAATGATGAATAATCTTCTCTTTGTCTACCCTCCCGTTTCTCTCTGACAAACGCGTACGATCGTCCGTCCTCTCTATCGCGTGCGCGTTGCGCATACGTACAGCGATATTACCTACGAAAGGGACGAGGTGGAAGCGGGGAAACCCACTGGGGGTGTTCCCCGTCCCTGCGAAATGGGGTGGCACCCCATAGTTTATACTTTACTCTCAACTCCCGCGTTTCCACGGGCCAGATGTGCTCGGGCATCCGATTTACAGGGACGCTCAACTTGGAGCCTTTTCTCGGGACAATAAAGGCGAAGGAAAAGAAAGTGAAGAAGAGGACCGGTCTCTTCGAAAGAGAACGATAAAATGCACGCGCGAGTCTTTCTCTGCACTCTCGACAGTCGTCGAGTTGGCTCTCTCGTTCAATTGCTTAGCGGGCCGTTGCGAGAGAAAAATGCGATTGCTAACCGGTCCTCGTCGTCTGACGCGATTTCCCTTTTTTCTGCTACGGCAGGAACCTGGTTCCTGCCATTACAACGATCAATGAGAACGTGATAAGTCGTTCATTCCATGTTGTCTCATTCATATTTACAATGCTTCGTCATACTTTTGTTTGAGGAGTTAAAGAAAATAGGACAAATATATAGTATCTTATGTTATATTTACACGTTATGTAATATTTTTACTTATTATTCTTTTTATAAAAGTATATCTCGCCTGAAGAAGTGATATAATATAATAAATAATATATATTGGATTTATGAAAAACAAAATATCGTCATTTAAACTTAGAATAATAGTAATAATAAATAGTAGAGTAGTTTCGAAAATTTATTTAGATTTTATTATCGCTTTTTGAAATTGTACTCTTTCTTCTTTAAATAAGTCTACTGGACAATGAAAAGAATCTTGTGTTCTTCTCTTATCACTTACATGTTTGGGCACCTCTAACGTGTAGCTTTATGAGGGGATGCTGTACTCTCTCTCTTCTTCTCCTTTTCTCTCTCTCTTCGTCTTGCTATTCTCCACATATATCGTGACGATATCAAAGCACGCGTGTCCATGTGTCTGGATACAGAATGGGTTTTCTACGTTCGAAATAGACTTCCACATCGTACACAAACTAGCCAACTGGTTATAATACACGTGCGCGCACACATAAACGAGACGAGGTGTCCTTCTCTCGTCATGGTTTACGATATTATTTTAAGATCTTTTTTTCCCACTCGGCTATCTACCACTCGTCATATCGCCACAGTTAACAGCCTAGACGACAACTTTTTCCAGGCGTCTAGGTCAGTATCTCGATTTTAATCGCTATTTCTCTTTCGATAACACGTATATTTATAAATTCCAAGAAGTACATTCTTGGAATTTTTCTACAAAATTTATGAATTTTCTTGCCAGCAATTTTACTGCTATCATTTTTCATCTATAAGCAATCAGTTACGAATAATTAATAGGATATTAAATTAATTTCTTTCTCACAAATTTTATTCCATTCTGCGCATTCTCTATTCTGTATTATCTGAAACGTTTTAGATGTAGTTATTGTTACACACACGCGCGCGCGCGCGCGGAACACCTCTGGCAATCTATTCATGTGAGTTAATCTCTGTTTGAGTTGATCATTCGTGCGTACACACTTATTATATCATAGTTATTAGACAGAGTAACGTTTGTTTCAATTAGATAGGATTACGCGTCACTTGTCTCTACGCACATATCGATTTTCCCTCTTGACTCTCTCCGCTTCTCTTTGCTTCTCTCTACGTCTCTCTGCTCCGAACTTAACTCAATCTCCATAATCCGCCGTGGAACTTCCTAAAGAGATTTCCGGAATGGTGGAAAGAGTCCCAAACGCTGTATTAAAACGTTTAAAGGATACTAACCGCCGGATGCATCATGAGTGATTAAAATTCCGCATATTAATTTCTGTATCAAAAAGAAATAAAAAATTTAATTTGAAGTATTAGTAAAAGTTATATTTATAAGATCTTATAAAAAGATTTGTAAAACATTTTATGAACTTATGGATAGTATTCTCGATCGTATATAAATGTTTACGATTGTTTATTTCTTATATTAACATTAATATTCCTGGAAATTCATGGTTTGTTGAACTTTGCTCGTAAACGAGATTTAATTCCAAGTGCACGTGCGCGCTGTGAGATCACCTTAAATCCAGTAATCCCACGGGAATCTCCCAAAGAGACAAACAGAAATAAATAAAAAAGGAGGAAGAAAGAGAGAAAGAAAAAAACAAAGAGACCCTTTCGACCATTCGTCAGCTCCGTTATAAACTGTCTTTCGTTCCACGAGTATGCGCGTGTCCAAGAAAAAGAAGGAGACGCTTCCGAGAGACGGAGAAAGCGCGAAAAGATCGGCGTTGAAGAGACGAGGTTGAAAGAGGGTAGCGAAGAGGGAGAACAACGAGAGAAAATTGAAGTCTCAGAGCACACGTAAGACTTGCTGCACCCGGTCTTTAACCCCGAAACATCAAAGCGCTATCTCAGTGATTCTCAACACTAGAAAAAAATTCTTGCTTTTATTTTGAGTCATTTCGGATTGACGCAAAACGTAAAAAGTGAAATTTTTAAGATATGCATGTGATGTTCAAATTTACAAAAATCACCGAAACGTTACAAAAATACTTTTAAAAGCGAAATATTAAGAACTTACGTCATTAATGTTTCATCTGCCCGAATGAAAACATGCATAATTATTTAAAATTTGTTAACTAATTCAAAATAAATATTTAACATTTTCATCTTATAATTTATTTATACCTTGTAACTGTTATTATATGTGTAGTTACAGTTGCTATATAAAAATCTCGCCAATTTGAAATATGACATATTGACAATAATCATTATAAATATTTATTATTATTTTTAAAGATTATAAATTTCTAACACTAATGGCTATATGCCTATGCGTATCCTAGAAACTGTCCTTATTTTTTCCATCATTTACATATTTTTATATTTTGCATGTATATTTTCATTAGTAAATTTTTAGGATGTGAAATCTAGTCAAAGCATATATTTTTGAGCATCACTGAGCATGGACATTCAGGGACTCTTAAATCTTTCTCTTCCTCTCGCCTTCCTTCAGTCTCGCACGAGTTAAAAATACTATCTCATACATTCGGGTACCGGTTCGGTACAGGTTTCGAGAACGAGCCTCCCTCGAAGAATCCGCTACACTCATTTGAAACATGGCTTTGCGAAGGCGATGGTAAGGAAAGACGACGATGACACACAAAAAAAAAAGGAAAACAGTTACATAGTAAAAATGTAACGCGATCGGCCGCATTTTACCGGGAATTAAGTGCATCATCAGCAGCGATCTAAAATTATAAATAACTTTGTGTTATTATTAGTACAAGTGG